AGGCTCGGGAGACGCGCGGCGGCTGGGGGCATCGCCCCGGGCGGCGCGGTGTCCGGGGGAGCTGGGATCCCCGGAAAGTCAGTGCCAGCGGCGGCTCCCCAGCCCGCTTCAAGCGCCCGGCTGCGGGACTGAGCCAGACCTTTTCAGGCATAAAGCCTGTTCCAGACATGGCATCCTTAAAACGATCCCTGTCAATGACCATGATTATTCTATATACGTTTTTGCATTTTCTGCTAAGTTCAGTTAGAATCAAATACATAGCACTGTGACTTTACCTTTGCAGAGGTTAACTAGGAAATTCAGTGTCATCTAATAAAATTTCTAGATTCTCTCTCCCTGTTTATTTTTTTAACAATAGTCTTAGGAAAGCCTTAAAAGTTTTGGAAAGCCAAAGCCATATTGTTCTGATTTTCCTTCACTTACATGATTTCATGATTTATATAATTACTACCTCCAGATTCAGAGCACTTTACACCTGAGAAGCAAAGTCAGAAGTCAATTCCAAACAGCTTTCCACAAGCGAATGAGTGAATCTGAGGAGACCCAAATTCCAGTTTTATCTCTAAACTCAGCGATCCCTTTTCTCTCCAAATTTCCTTTATTGTTACTAATGTAGTAAGAAGAAGAAAAAAGATATTATTTATAAATATGTATAATATTTTATATATTAATACATAACACACATACCATACCATGCATATTATATATATTACATAGTACATATTTACTGTAAGTTTACAAGCAGAACTGCCTTCAAATGGAAGGCTCCTTGTTCTGCAAGCATCTTATTACCCAGGGCTTCTGCAAGTTTAAGCCTTGGTACCCAGCTGATTTCTCTGTACTGAAGGGAAATGAGTTCTTAGGGAATTCTGGAAAGAAAGATAAGGAGAAAAGAGGATTGAGAAACAGGAGAGTAAACTCCATGGCTGGGCCTCATCTCCCGTGCCCCCTAAATCTTTTTCCTGTGATCCGTAAGTCTTCAATTAGGACAACTAAATTCATGAACGCTTGCTGTGACCCAAGTTTTTGAAAGGCAGCTCTGGGGCACAAATCCATCTGGTGTGGGACAGGGACTCGGGAGGTAGAAGCCATGGGAACTGGAAGACACCTTAGGGAGCGCTTAGGGCACCCTGAGAAGTGGAAGGACCAGGGCTCCAGCCATGGAAGGCAAGCCAACGTCAGGTTACACTAGTCCCAAATCTGATCAGTGACTCAATGGACCAAATTCTTATTTGGACAAAATCATCTGTGATGGGCCTAAAAGTAGAGAGAAACAAGAGTAAGAGCTCCTCACAGATGATACTTAACCACTGCTTAGCTAGTAGTCAGCCTGGGGCCTCAGTAAATCTCGTAGAAAAAAATAGTTAGACTGCGGGAAACAAGTGGACCGCAGTCCTGGTGGTATACGACTCCTCGTGGCAAACCCCTCTTCCCGCCCACGGTAGATTCTAGACTTTCACAAACTGGGGAAATGGCGTCAGGTGTTGTGTCTCAGGACTGCTCACTTGTCCCTCATTGAATATATGAGTTAAAACATTTCATGATGTCACTGTCTTAGCCCGTTCAGGCCGCCACCACAAAATACCATAGACTGAGGGGTATTTATTTACAGACATTTATTTCTCGCAGTTCTGGAGGCTGGAAGTCCAAGATCAAGGTGCCAGCAGGCCTGGCTTCTGGTGTGGTCGCTTTTCTGGGCTTGTATATGGCCACCTTCCTTCTGTGGCCTCACGTGGCCATTCTTCTGTGTACATGTAGAGCGAGAGAAATCTCTGGAGTCCTGTCCTCTTCTTATAAGGACACCAGTCTATCAGGTTAGAGCCCCACCCTTGTGATCTCATTTAATCTTAATTACTTCCTCAAAGGTCCTGTCTCCAAAGACAGTCTCATTGGGGGTTATGGCTTTAAGGTATGAATTCAGGGCTGAGGGGAGGAGTGGGAATAGGGGACACAATTCAGTCCACAACAGTTATTTAGCAGGTGTTCTGCAGGTTTGCTAGAGAAAAGGAGATATAAAACGGTTTATATTCCTGGCAAGCCGCCTTAGAGCAAGCACTGCCAAAGTATAAGATCAACAACTGTTAACACTTATTGCTTACGATGGGCCGTGCACTATTGTAAGGATTTTTGTATGTTATCTTAATTAATTCTCCAAACAACACTTCAAAGTAGGTACTATTATCAGCCTCATTTTAGAGATAAGGGCGTTAGTTTCATTGACTGACCCAAGATCACAGAGCTAGAAAGTGACTAAGCCAGGATTCAAACCTAGCATCAGAATCCAGAGTCCATGTGCTTAATTACAACACTAAAATACGGACAAATTAAGTAATGTTTTAAAGGCACAAATGGGCCCTTTATCAAGAAGTAAGTGGAGTATACAAATAGTAATAACCTTAGCAGACCCTCCAGCGATGGCTGAATGAGGATGTACTTGGACTAACGTGCATCTTGTGCTGATCAGCCTCCCTGCTCTATTTCAGTCCTGCACTAGAACTTACGCAGACAAGAGAGTGAAGTTTTCTTTTTAATTGCATCTTCAAGTGCCTCAGAGGCCTGGCAAAGTTTTGTCCATTTCTAGAGACCTTAAAATTCTGACTTCTTTCCATTTAAATGAGCCAATAAATAAAAACCCTCATGCACGGCCGACGTCCCTCTTGTTGTCTAAACTTGACAGAATCAGAAGTCCTCCAACATGACCCAGGCTGTATTTTCCAGAAGCCAGGGCCTCTGACAGGTTGTCCTTTTCCTGGATTCTTCACAGACACATCAATCATGCGTTTCTTCTCTGCTAGGCCTGGCAGAGTACCTTGCTGATTGGGATTCCCTGAATTTCAAGAACTAACAAAATTTGACACAGAGACACAAAGTGAACAAATGCTATTGGGAAAATAGCGCCAGTAGACTTGCCTAACACAGGGTTGTCACAAACCTTCAACTTGTAAAAAAAAAAAACAAAAAAACACCATATCTGTAAATCACACTAAAGTGAAGCACAATAAAATGATATATGCCTGTTTATCCTAAATATATATAAATATATATCCTAACATATATTGGGAGGAAATGCATCAAAATGCTAATGATGGTAATCTCTGGGTGTGGAACTATAGGTGATTGCTGATTTTTACTTTATGCTATTATGTATTGCTTCTTGTCTGCAATGAACATGTATTGCTTGTAAAATTAGAAAGAGAACAATAAATATTGTTAAAAATTTAACAAAACAAAACAAACAAAAAAGAAGCAATAAGCATATCGGGAACTAAACAGATCCGTATTTATAAGAACTTAATATAGGATGTGGAAACAGCCCAGATTGCCAGCAAGCAGGGAGTGGTTTATAAACTGTAGCACATTCATATATTCGAACAGTTTATCACACTTAAGCATATTTTTAAACTTTCTAGATGACATGCACAGGACACAATGCAAAGTGAAGAAAGAGTAGAAATGATGTTTCAGTGCCTGATGGGCTCCAGGGCTGCTGGCTACATGCCATGTCTTGACTTTGGTAGTAGTCATATGGTCATTCACTTTGTTTCAGAAATAGGTTTTATGTATTTTCCCAATGGATGCTACGGTAAAAGATCTTTAAAGAACATACAGGACCTCTTATCATCCTGGTCTATATACTAGACATGAACAGCTACGTATGTCAAATTTTATCACCCTCTTATGCAGATGAGGAACCAGATTAAACCACTGCACTCCAGAAGCTGATACATAACAAGGCCAGGATACTGACCCATTTGTGCTTCGCCACAACAGGATCCTGTGTCCCCGGTACTCGTGGTAAGAGAGTGAACAGTCATCACAAAGGTTACCATGACTGTGTGCCCCCAAAGTGTGTTAGACATTGTGCTGGGCGCTGTATACAAATTGGCTCATCTAACCTTCACAATAGCCCTGCAAAAATGTGCTCCCAATTTACTCTCAATTTATGATGAAGGAAAGGGGGCACCTCTCAGGTAAAGAATGAAGCTGCAGGGCTGTAGATGGTAAAATGTCCTTCTTTCTTATGAGTGAGCTGTGTTCCATTACATATACATGCTGCATCTT